TATAAATCTGTATAAATATATAATAATATGAAAGAACTTTAAGCACAGGTATTTCGAAATTTTACATTTGGATTAAAATGTTGCCAAAATTAGGTCATGCTAAATATTAACAAAGTCGAGTAAAACAAGTGAGATTACTTTTTACACTCGACGGTCTAAAGCAGAGTACTACTCTGAATTCTTCGCAGAGCTGATTCGAATTCCACGCTTCTTTCATACATACATATGAGTATTTATGTAGATTGTATTTATACAAAGAACACACACTCATACGTACGCACACATTAGCACGCGCTTTGGTTACGCGCTGCGACTGCGCTTTACTAATGCAGCTTTATAGTTGAATGACTTTCCTTCTAGATGGACTTTCTGAATCAAAATTTTTAGAGCATGAATCTGAGGAATAGAAATCGAAAATATAATTTCTCCTATTCATTTCCGATTAGAAATGTTCTTCCTTTGTGCTATTTAAAGAGAAAAATATCGATTTTTATTGATATGGATGAGTTATCTTTGAGTTATGAGTTATCTATAAAAAAAATATTAAAGGCATGCCTTTAAAGTCCTCAATTAAGAATAAAATATCAGTAGAATACATGTTTCTAATGTATGTAAAACATAACTTTAATACATTTAAAGCCAAGAATAAACATAGAATCTTCAGAAAAGTTTCAGTAAAAATGAATTTGTACAGTCAAATTTGAAAAAAATTTAAATTAGTATTTTTTTACTATAAAATAAAGGATTGTCTTTGATAAAAGAACATTTTTGTAGAGATGTTTTCATTTTGCTCTGTTAATGCGCAAGTATGAAAATTAATTTCGAAGTGAAAGCGATCGAGGAACACAGGAAAAATATATGAAGGCTGAGCACCAATTATATGCCGTGGGAAACCGAGGCAATATTAGATAAAAAATTGAAAAAAAAGCGTTGCTCTTCGGATTGATGATCAGTGATGATTAGCTCAGCCTAGATCGATGTAGTTCATCCATTTGACTGCAGCTTGATTCCCCCATCCTAACATCATCAATATAGAAATCTCACTTCCAATTATAATAAGAGAGCGCTCAGAAAACTGAAACTGAAAACAATTTAAATTGTAGACCTTTACTTAACTAATGCCTTACTAACTCTTGAAGAAGCGTCGCAGCTTCAGCTGTTTGGGCCAATCTTTAAGCCAACAAGAAAGAAGCAGCTGAAAGAAACCGTTGCGCTTGGCAATTTACTTGAAATTGCGTTACACTTAATTCAATCGCAGATAGAAGTTAAAGCTATTCCGCTGTTGGCCCAATTCGGAGTGGTGGATCTCTGAAGAAGAAGCAGCAGCAGCGGCAAATGGCCTCGAGCRCCCTATTATACTACTCTATACCCCGTGATGGAAGCTACACCATCAAAAGTTTCTATTTAATTCATTTAATTTCATTTAAGCCAACTCAGGCAAGAATCGTCATCATCAGCGACGTAGCTTGGCCTTTGGCCAAACTTATTAATAAATGTTATTTCTCTTTTATATTTCTTTTATTCATTTTTTTCTTCTTCTGTATTTCTTTTGCGTGGTTTTTCTACTTCTATACGGCGAGGCGTTTACCTATACGTTGACCTGATTAAAGACAGCGGCACGCACAGTCCGAGTCGGACTTGAAGCTCACTCAGACGGAGTGCGAGTAGAAAGTGTCGCCACTCTCTTTTCTGTGTGGCGCGAATTATATAGAGTTTTTGACATTTGTTGCAAGTCGGCTTATTGAACAGCCAATGGCTGTAGCCATTTGAGCTGGGCTTGGCTTTCAGCCTTTTGGGCTTTTGGGCTTTTGGTTACACTCTAATTGAAAAATAATAAAAGTCAAGCCAGTTTTCATAGCTGTCTCTCAACTTTGACATACAAAACGGTGTTGGGTAAAGTTCATTGAAACGCTGGAGCTGTTAGCGCATACAGCAACAAAAATATGAATGTTAGGAAAAGGTTTTAACATATTATGGCAATGCCTCAAACGAATTAAGCTTTAAAGCCGCAAAAAAAAAAAAAAAAAA